CCAGAACTTAAAGCTATCTAAGAGTTTAAAATTTGGCTAATGAATTTCCTACCTCATAGAAGCCGTAACGGGCCGAGCAATCGAACTCGGGAGATTGCTAGTTCGAATTCCAGAGGATGCCAGCCGTTTTTGCCGCTGTTTTTCTTCGAGGAGCTTGCGCTAAATAAAGATATAAATTTTTGATGCGTAATTTTATTAGTAATTCTGATGGCCATCGACTATTTTCCTAAGGTCAAAGCTGATTTCGAAAATTTGACCGACCTGACGCTGCAAATTATCCTGCACCCAGTCCTGGTTCTTCGTTTCGTCTCCCATTTTGGGTCTGAAAGTATTGCGCTATGATCAGTAATAGAATGATAATAAAAGCATGACACTTAGCAAATCAAAAATAACGGTTATAGAGAAATTGAAGGTTGTGTGTGTGGTTCGCCCGATCGGTCTGTGCCCAATGCGGAATACAAACGAACAACGCTATTTCATCTTCAGTCTCGATTCTGTGAGATCATTTCCTACATTTTTAGATGTTAAACTATAAGTTTCTGTGCTAGGATCACAGAGAACGGGGCAAAAGGGATGGGGGAAGTGGACCGCCGCACACAGAACCTGAAAAATTTTCCGTTCTCTGTGATTCTAGCACAAAAACTTATTGTTTAACAACTCAAAATGGAGGAAATGATCTCACAGAATCAAAACTGAAGACGAAATAGCGGAATTCTACTTTAGAAAAAAGTTATGAATTTACAAAAGTTTTCGCTGCGGAAGCCTTTTCGACCCGACCGAGTTTCGACCCGGGTCGATAACAACTCTAGTGTGAATTCATAAGCTAGCCTGTGCCAAGTAAAATCACACTAGCTGTCCTATTGCACTAAAGATTCAAAAATATTGTTGCAGATTTTAGATCTGGAAGCAATAAAGGATTCTTTAAAGGTTCACGCGAGCGAACGTAAAAACGTGACGTACCAAAACAGAAGAAAACAATACATCAATTTTTGAAGCTTCCACATAAAAAAAGTGGATTTTTATCTTATCATTAGATAGAGTTTTAGTGTATATGGATACCAAAAAATTTCTATAACAACAGAAAGCAGAAATTTTAGTAATTCCCGAGCAAATTTGCGTCAGACTACAGCCCGTTTCCAGACGTGGAAAAGTGAAATGGAAAATAAAGCCTAATAACATGTGTGTCCGATTTCCCCTTGTCCAGATTTAAAAACAGCTAAAAAACATTAAAATTACCGCTAATTTCCGAGTGGAGAAAAAGCTCTAAAAAGTCTGAGAATTCGTGGCTCTAATCGTGCACAAATGTACTCTCCGAAAATTGTCTAAAAACAAATTAAAAACAATTAAAAAAGCTAATTTCCGGGGGTAAATTTTCCGCCTCGAGGGAAGCCCCCAGGGGGCATGCAGGTGTGGTCAGCCGGCCGCCGAGGGCCGAGAATTCTAAGGGATAGGATTTTCTTCCCGAGACCCGCCGTCCCTCCCTGCCCTACGCTGATTTCCATGGCAACCGTAGTCCGGGGATGTATTGGGAACGGCCATATAAACTCGCCAAAAGTGGAGAGGGTCCCGCAACGAAAGGGCACAATAAATGGGATTATCTGTGTGTGGAGGGCTACTGAAATCACATCTGAAGAAACTACGGGTTGATGAAAATCGATACCTAAATTAAAAGAAAGTCTAAAAATCGCTTCAAAGCTTTTTGAAAGAGGTTCGAAAAAAATATTCATCTCTCAATTTTATGAAATCGGTCCACGCTATAGCAGGGTCTGTTCCCTATAGCCTGGATAGGCCCCACTCGGGGGAATAGGCCCTGTCCTTTCCTCCTCGGATCGGCCGGTTGGCTCATTGGTTTTGCGTTAGCTCGCCGCGCGCAAGGCCCTGGTTCGACCCCCGGCCGGGAAGGCCCTTTTTGCTTTTTCATCAAAAACTCGGAGTTGAATGTTTCTTCGAATCCCGTGAATCTAAAGATCAAAAAAACCCGACACTAGTAATGGCGGAAATGACGCAATAAATAGGATTTCCTGTCGCCGCCGGTGCCCTTGAAATTTATATCATTGTCAATTGGGGGTGACGCGTTTATGAAAATCGACACCTGAAGCTCGAAAACGCTTCTGCCGAACCTTTAAAAATGATAGAAAACGCTAGATAAACTCACTACTTACAACTAACTTCTACTAGCCCTTGACCACAAATCAAAACGTCCAATTTACATGCAAAAAATTACACAATTTGTAACTTTGTAAAAAACATCGTAAAATTCGACATATTTCCAGGGCTTTCACAGTACAATTATTTGTCTCCGTAGTTCGTGAAGTGAAATAATGCCTTTTGATAGGCGCCCACGTGCCATTCCCGGAATGGCCAAATACTACTAAACCTGAAATTTCGTCAAAACACGCTAATGAGGGGCGGGAAGGTGTGTAAATAGGCGTATAAAGTAGCGAGAACCATGTCTACTCTTCTCTCGCGTAACTTCCGCATCACGGAAAACGTTTTATAAACGGAAAAACCGCTTTTTCGCAATGTCGGGAAAAGTTGTAAGTTTAGGAAAGCAGTAAAATCAAGAACTGAAGTTTCGATATTGTTTTAAATGCTAGCTTAATCAAAGGCCGATGTTTCGCCTTAAAACTCTTGACAGTGATCGGTCTCACGGATTCCAGCCATCACCGCCTAAATCGCGACCGGCAAAACGGCGACATGTTGTTGGCGCTAGTTTGAATACCACTTCCTTCTAAATAGCGAAATTGAGTGGCGGGATTTTGCCATTCGGGATGGTGGCTCTCGCGATTTCGGACTTTCGACTTTTTGGATGTCGGGATTTGGGCGTTTTTCCGGTAGAAAAAAAATCGAATTAACTGATTGCGAAAGGTAGATAAACATTTTGGTTTATCCAGAATTAACTTTTTGGTTCGAACAATCGAAAAGAACAAAAGTTCCGATGTTCCGAGCAAATCACGGTTGTTGGAAAGTTGCCATGGGGATTGCCTAGCTAGAATTTTGGGGAGGAAGCCGGCAGCGGCCTGTTTACAACTGACCCGAGCAGGTGAATTTTGAAGAAAAGTGGGTAGCCCTACGAGGGGATTAGGGCCACACAATTAATATCCGGTTTTTGTCGGTGATTGGGAGCCCATTTATTAAATCAATCGGGTGCACGGGCCACGTAGACTAATGGAATTTGGCGGGTTAGTCAGCGATCAAAAGCAAAAAGCAAAGCAAAAAATGTGACCGAAACGCACCCAGGCCTTTTGAACGTCAGGTTCTAATTTTTCACAAATACATAGCGGAAGTTTTTTCTAAACGCTTTTACTGCTCCAAAACCTAAAAACTTTACAAATTTCGATTAAAAAATACAAAAAAAAATCGATTATTCAAGAAACCTAAACTATTTTCGACAAAATTTCGAACAAAAAAATAGGTTCTAGGTTTTTAGATAGTTTTTCCACTTAAACGCTATTTAAATTTTACTAAAAACATCATTAAAATACTTGTTAGTTCTAGTATGATGTTGACGGTTTGAGTGACGGTTTTGGAGCCCTACGTACTAGCTTTTCTATACCCAAGGGGACGGATTTTTCCCACTCGCTAGCCCGTCGAAGCGTGTTTTTCTCTAAAAAGTCGACATTTTCTATATTTTGAGATAACTCTCCTTTCCACAGCATATTTATTCACATCTCACTTCATCATCATAAGCAAATCCAGGACAAAAACGGGAAAATAGGGTCATGAAGAATCGACAAGTTGTCACAATGGGAAGGAGCCATCGAAAAAGTCACGTTTTTCTTTAGAATTACTTTTGAAACCTCGAAATTACATCGAAAAGACTAGTACAAATATTTGTTACAAAAGAATAGGAAATTTGATAAAATAGGGTACATCGAAATTACCGCGGCAAGGGTGCTAAAGCTTTAAAAATGCTGCAAACTGTCACAATCTTACAAAAAAGATTTAATAAGGAAATCACAATACAAACGTTTTTAAAATCGCCATTAATGAATCGTCATAGCGTAAATGGTAATATTAGTATACTTTAAGGTTGGCTACACGTTGAGGCGCGTAAAAGCATAGATTTTCATAAAACGAAAATGCCAAAAAATTTTAAATTAGCCTTTTAAAGCTGGGCACTGGCTCCTAGAATTAAACTGCGTATTGCGGCAAAGGAAATATAGATTATTTTTAAGCGATAAAAACGCTAATAAACGTATTAGTGAAGATTGCTCTAGTGGTTTATTCCTCCATCTTGATGCGCTTCTCCGGGGGGCTCATCTCGGCCGAGATCGTCGACTCCGAGGCGTTCAGCCGCATGTCAATCGGGTTGCCGGCGAGCTGAAAAAGAGCTTATTAATGCGTTTTATCCATTGGTTGTAAAATTCTATAGCGTCTCTATTTAACGAGTTTAATTAGCCGCTCTAAATTATGATTTTAAACGGCTTTTGGGAATTTGGTTATCTGTCCCTCTCTCTCTCTCTCTCTCTCTCTCTCTCTCTCTCTCTCTCAGTCTCTGTCTCTCTCAGTCTACTTCTTCTTCTTCTTCTCAGCAAAAATCACCGGAAACAACACTCGGAAATGAGCTGTGGAACCTCCAAAATGGGCCACGCAGGGTCCCTGGTGCGATTTTCCGACCAGACTATTTTTTTGGCTAAATTACGCTAGACTACAAAGAACATATTTTAAGTATTCTAAGAGCTTTTTTAACGCACCGTAGCCGGGATGAGGACCTGATTCGGGGCTGAGGTCATCTGATCGAAGCACTGCTGGCAGCGGGGGTGTTCGAATGAGGAAGCGACGATGCAGTAGTCGGTTTCACGCTAAAAATGGGACTATACAGGTATATTACACTCCCACCTATATGCGGTAGTTTAAAAATTCGATTAAAAAATTACCGAGCAAATCGCGCACCGCATCGCTTCGCCGTTGTTGCCTTTCGAGTCCGGGGAGCTGAGGGTTTCCGACTGAAAAAGACTTATCAAATCCTTTATTAAAATTAAAACGGCTAACTGTATATATTTTCCGGCCCTCATTCTCCTCCTCATTCTCCCAGCCTTGTTTACCAAATCGACTCCCCCAATACTCCCCCAAACGACCCAGTTTTACAACCAATTTCGCGCGCCCCCAAGATGGACAGCAGGACCAGATGTAGCCGGGGGATATGACTAGCTGTATCTAGTATACGCGCGTCTGTTTGTCTGATTTTGCGGATATATGTATAGTCGGTCATTTTTATAACTACAATACACAACTGTTTCTATCACATAATTTCTCTAAATGCTATGTTTACCTGTCGACTGAATGGAGTCAGTGTGTCCCGGATCGAGGTC